GAGGTGGGCTGCCAGGACTGACAAACTCAGTGTGTCATAACTCAGGTGTGCTAAGAGCAGTCAGTGAGTAAAGAAGAAAAACATCAGCCTTCAGCTTACTTATCATCAACTTTCTACAGGAAAGCACAGCAAATACTGGCTACCAGCAGAGAGCATTTCAAGCATGTTGCAACCTTTTTATCAATATCATCATTAGTTTATGAGTCCAGGCAGCTGTATTTCATCTTAACTGTATAGCTGGAGGATGTGATCTCTAGTGTTCATTCCCTGTAACACAACATGGAGCCAGGCTAGTTTTCCTTGTCATAGGTAGGATTTTCATAGTTAAGGGTTTTCTTATTTTCTTTATACTTTAATTTTTTTTTCATGATCTGGTCTTAGTGCTAATAAATGTTCAAATTAAAAAAAAAAAAAAAAAAGAAAAAAAAGGCTGTTATTTAGTTTTCTAAGCCAACTACATTCACACACTTTGGGATTCTTCTAGGGTTCAACATCGTCATAGCATATGATGTCTCTGCCTTTCTACATCAATACAGTATTAAAGTTTAAGCAAATTACTGAAATTAGGAATTAATTTTCCCTTTTACAGATTTCATTTGTCTGTCACTCAGGACTGCTTTTTTCCTTGCTTGAAAGAAACAGAAAAGCAATTATGTTTTATATTTCTAGCAGTTCTGGAAAATATACAGAACAAGGATTAAGGGCTGAATGACCAGGTCACAAATTCCTTACAGAAAATCTTATCTTCTCCCACTAATGTTCTTAATTACTGGCACTGATGCCAGGACAGGTTGTTACTGTGTAATGTGTATTAGTTATACATTAAGGAAATACCTAACTAGGATCAATTTCATATTAACACAAACTTTACCTGCTTTCCAAACTAAAAATGTATTTAGGCTAGTAAAACTTTAAATTCTAATGTAATACATTTATAAAATTAATTCTAACTTAAGTAAGCAGTATTTTCAATTAAAATTAAGATTTATACTAAATTACAGTCTAACCAATCAGACACTTTCAGAATCAGTAACTATAACAAAGCACAGAACCCCAGTCTGGATCTGTAAACTTCAAAACCTAACAACTAGATTAAAAAAAAAAGAAAAAGAAAAAGAACCACATTTCTATGGCAAACAGCAATATTCTGAATCTTGAAGACAACGCCTCACTTAGACCTTCAGTCTTCAGAAAGTCAAGCAAATATGTTGCTTAATGCTTTCTACACTACTTTGTCTCAGAGTCATACGGATCAGAAAAAGGAACCAACCTTTATAATGATAAATGTCCCTTCTCAATTTATGTATCCCTACAGATTTTGCAAGAACATAATGGACCTTTTTTTTTCTTACAAGTTTCTCCTTTTAGAATTTAATTTAGAGCTCAGATTATATGCCAAATTTCTATCTCAAAAAAGATCTCGACTATTCTTATTAATTCGAATCTCAATACATGTCTTATGTGTTTAAGATCACTAAAATACATATAGTTAAGTACAACTGCAAAGCAGAACTAATATTGACATGAATATGCAGGGCATAAAAGCAAGCATCTGAAATGGTCTTTGGCAGCAGAAAACATGTATAATATTTTAATCTCTAAAATGACAATAACTGAGTATTTGGTATACATTAGCAAGAAATACCTAAATAAAATGAAAAAAAATTTGTTTCTGTATGGGAACATTGCTAAATTTGGTTGGTCAATTCAAAACAGCAAAACACCAAAATAATAGATACTGCAGATAATTTACCTTTGTTGTTGTTGTTTTTCGTTTGTTTGTTTTTTGATTTTTTGGGGGTCAAATTCATTTCTATCAGAATTAATTTAAATGTGAATGTCTGCAAGAGTAGTATGTTCAAATACACACTTTTTTCAATGTCAGGTGACAACTGAAACACACAACCAACTACCACATATTTGACAGGAGGGAGGGCAACAATTGTCTTTTTTCCCATCCTAATTCACAGAATCACAGGCCTGGGTTGGAAGGGACCTTAAAGATGATCTATTTCCAAACCCCCACCAAGGACAGTGATGCCACCCACTACATCAGGATGCTCGAGGCAATTTCTAACACAAGTTTTAGTTCATCTCCTTTGGTCAGTCATTAATCTTGCTGTGTATGGTAAACACCACTATATGCTTAGCAGGTCTCAAATGTGGTAAGCCAAGATGAGTAATACTGTATGGAAAAAGTACTCATTACCATTCTCACACTGGCATTTTATTCTTGGAGGAAAAATAGTGATTCATTAATAACTCCTGCAGGGTGTCCTACAGAAAAGGTCACAAAGGTAAAGATGTCATCATTTTGGGCTTCCAAGAATATTTTGATTAATTCAGCAGGACAATTGTTAAATGCCAATGCATAGAGGTAGGACAAAGCTTAAAACCAAATGCATTTCTAATATACATCTAAAGGTGGCAGCAAATGTTTGTTCTTTATTATCGGGCAGAGTAAATCTCTAAAGAGCTTCAATCGCTGTACCTCAAGGCTCTATCCAGAAACAAGAGTCAAATGCATCCTCAATGTCAGTTTAATGCTATGTCAAGAATCAAGCTGTTCCAATGAACACAACCTCTAAGGGATCAAATTTCTGCATACCAGCCACCTCCAACTCTGCTTTGCAAAAGCAATACAACCTGATTATCATGGCCACCAAATAATACAACACAAAGATACTCCAAATTACACAGATTCCAGTTTCAGAACATGTATGTTATAAATTTACACAAGGGGAAAAATCAGTCAAAAAAAGCCCTCTATCCCCAAAACCTGCCCTTCTTCTCCACCATAACATCCAGAATGCATGTAAGCTACAGAGAGGGCTCACCTAAATTCTAAACAAAAGACAAACCTGAAATATTTAGTATATGACACTAGTAGGAGGAATCTTGTTACAGTCTGCCTAAACTTGAATTTGTTCTTTGTTCTCAGAATTAGCACCCACACCTTCAGTCAGCTCTCATTACTGCTGCAAGTACTGATGTCATTAATCAAGTTACAGAAAACAGTCTAGCCTATTTAACTCTGCAGACTATAATGACATGCAAATGAAAATGAGGCAAAAATGATTCTGCAGAAGGAGAGTCAGTGCCAGGGCCCTCGTCTACAGGGGGAAGTGTGTGTGTGAGAGAGAGAGAAAGGAGGTAAAAGGAGGAAGGCCATGAAGAAGGCCTGGAGTTCCACAGAACACCCATATTTACTTAAAGCTAAGCTCCTAAGCACTTCCTGCAGGAGTAGCACGAGTTTCACTTTCTTCACACTTTTCCTTCAGGAAGGAACAAGGTTCAATAAGATAAGTAGGCTTGTCAACAAGCCCTTCAGGTTCTTTCATCTTCAGTTCCACTTAGGAAAAACTGTTCTTTGGTGGCAATTTTTTTTATTTTTGAAAATATGCATTAACTACAAGATACACATTACGTACGTGCCCATTACAGATGGGCATATCTATATAATGACTTACAAACCCATGTGGGTGTGTGCATATATATATTCTAATAATTTATTTTTTAAAAAACTTGTAGAGTATTAGAAGTTAAACTGTCAAACCATCAAAAAGAAAGTATTAATTTCACATCCCCAGAAAGTTCACAAGAATATCACTTTAAATGTTATGCTGCCTTGGCTGAGGGGATGAAGTGACAAGCCTTGAAATCTGACCACACTTAAGATTTAAGTATGATTTGAATATACTGCTTTGACTAGCTAGCAAAAAACACCAACATAACAGCAACAACAAAAAAACTCAAGTTGTAAATTCTCAACTGGACATAATATAGTTCAAACTATATCCTCAGGTCTATGTTCTTTGGCTTGCTTGGCTACATTTGGACCTTACTTTCTCTGGTCGGGATGAATTTGAGCTTGACAAAATATTTCAACATATATTCCAGAAAATACTTCTTGGTATTTCAGGTTTTGGACTAAATGGGTTTTGATACAAACAGCTGGCTCAGTGAGGCTGACACACAGCAAGTCACTGAAATTTAGGGTCAACTATTACTTTGTTTATGGTTTGTACAGGTTCTGTCAAATTTAAACCTACCCCCAGGGAGTGTATTACCCAGTGTGAGGAAAAAGCTGATACTGTGAAGAACAGCAGAAGCACTGTATCCATGAGCAGATTTATTAGTTCCTATGCAATGTCTGTATGCAGCACTGTGTGTGTACATACACAGACCAGACTTGTGCCCAGTCAGAATGACATACAAGGAATATGGAAATGGTCACCATCTGCTATCAGAGGATTACTGAACACTCCCACTTGATCTAGGAAGTTATGAAAGGGAGAATGTGGGTGTGCTTCATGGGACATGGTAGAATCTAGTGTGTGTTGAAAAGGTAGAAGTTAAGCATATATTTATGGACCTCAGTGGCAATTTTTTTCCACTCTGATGACATTTGTTTAGGATAAAGTTAATACTGGGGTCAGTTGAATCAGGAACTCAACTTTGGACAGGTCAAGCTTAGAAGAATAATACAAGTTCAAAGGCAAAATGTGTTGTGCTTTATTAATAACAACTTATTTGCAGGAACAATGGAAGTGAGAAACAGATAACCAACATGAGACTTCGCATATGAAATAGAAAAATTGTAGAGTGTATCTTCACTCACTAATGCAGCTCCTTCCTCAGCATCACACGAAGAAGAAAACAAATTCTGCTCATGTGGAAAATGAAAGAATAAGAGAAGACACAAGAAATATTGTACATTGTTTCTTAGATTGAGAAGACACTAAAAGAAAACTATTGATTGATGAAGTTATCTGTATCTGTTAGCAGTTTCAGTAGCTGAAATAAAAGGAATGCTAAGGTAACAGAAGAGTGTGAAGTGGTGCTTGGTGGAGCAATGCTGAAGCCTAGAAGTTTACTGCTAAGTTAGCATGTTCAGATCCATGATTTCAAGATGTCATTAGGCTGCAAGCTTATCTGAACACAGAATAAATCACATGCAAATGATTTCATGTCCAACTGCAAAGCTTTGATTCACTTACCTCCCATAATTTTAGATTGGCAGTTGATAAATTCTGGCTTCTTGTCTGTAAGGTATCGCTGACAAGTGTGATGTAGAACCTGAAAGAATGTGCATTTTTCTGAAGCTGTGTTTGCTACCCATTGGTCAAATGCATTTTCAAATAGTAAATCAAATTCTGGGGAATCCTAGAAGAAAAAAAAAATAAGACTGTTATTATTACTGTTTTAAAAACGATTTAGAGAAAGATATTTTTTAAAATGTACTGTGTTACAAAAAGCAGAAAGGTCATGCAACTAATAACCACCGTGGTATTACTGCACATTTTTAAATGAAAAAGACCAAACAGGCAGGAAGGTTTTTTTACTGTTATTTTTAATGAGGAATAGTCAGCTATGACAAAAATATCTGAAAACAAATATGATTTAGATCAAAAAATTAAAAGCCAAATTCTCATAAGAAGCCATTGCTATCTTCAGATATATAGTTATTTGTTTCCTCTGTATTACGCAAGCATTTATGTCTCTCAACACAAAATCTATGGTCACACTATGTTATAGAAGATGTGGATCTGCTCTCCATGCTCAACCAAACAAATGAGCTAAGTCCTAAGCAAATAACAAGTCCTAGTTATTGTATTTAATGCATTTTCATAAAGTGTTGCAAAGGACTCAGGATAACATGAGCAAAAGGCCACTCCCCGAACAAATCACAGTGCAGCTCAATACCAGATTCAGCTGCCAAAATAAAATGATTTTACGCAAGAAGTCATGCTATACATTTAATATTTGTGAGCCATTATTTTGCAATCTAATCTAGTAAATGTTGTTTTCCAGTTGATGACACTAGGAATTCACAGGGAGATGAGTTTGAAGGAAACATTTCTAAGCTTAAGAGCATGGTAGGATTTTCCATCTGTTATGTACACAGCTGCATAGCAGATGCTGTAAAAGGACCTAAAACTCTTATGCCTTATCTCTTTGTAATTTCACTTGTTTTCATAGTTCCTTTACCCACAGAAAATATAATTCCACTCCTTGCATTTTATAGGGTAGTGGCTAAGGGCTTCTTTTTTGTATCAAGTCTTTAGGTAATAACTAGACTTGGTACTAAGGACTTAGGTACTAACCAAGACTTGGGTACTGACAAAATTTGGTGCACCACAGTTAAGATGCTTATGTGGTTGATTAGAGCACAACTTTGAAGAAACAAGGGAGCTAGTCACAAAAATATTTTGCTATATAAAGAACACAAAATCACTTGGTGAGCACATAATATAAGCTACATTTTTAACTTCTAATTACGTTGCTTTAGTACTGGAGAATTGCATTCATAAAACTAAGACATATTTGTACAACCTCATCTTGAGATAGATCAAGGTGAGCTGCACAGCCCAAATTAAAGGAATAATTCCACAGCTATTCAATATAGGGTTAATTTGTTTTATTTTATTTTTGGTAATTTTTTGTTTAAATCAGTGTTCATTTGCCATTTGCAGCTAAAGGACACCACCACATTTGCTAGCATAAGATAAGGAATGTAGAAATATCTGAGGAAAGGACTGTCCTAGAAAAAATGCAGGATTCACAAGATTTCACAAACTTGAATCTCAGCAACCTCCTCTGTACTTCTACCTATTGCTCTATCTCACAGCACAGCTGCATGCCAAAGTAGACCCCAAGAGGCTTAAAGCTGAAGCAAACAAGGCTCTTACTCTGCTCTCTACAAAGAAAAGAAAAAGCAGTAAGGAAAGTATGGAAAGACAAGAAGAAAAAAATCCACATGACTGAGTTTTAGCCTCCTCCCATGTTTCCCATTAAAATTTACTTCACATATTCCATGTAGCTGTTTCTTTTTTGACAATTTGCACTTAAACCTGCATCTTATATTTCAAAAGATCAAAAGATACCTTTTAAATAGAAAGAATGCCTGGCTCACAAACCAGTTACATAACAGCTCAATTTTCATTTTCTAGAAAACTTTTCAAACTCACCCGATTAGGGTCTATTCCGTTGACCTGGCGAAGCTGCTCGAGCATCCACTGCGTTCTCCTGACAAAGGACGTGGAGCCTTCAAACTGCTTCACCTTTGTAATAGACGCTTGAGCTGGTTTCTTGTTTGTCACTGAACATATAGAAAAACACAGAACTAAAATGGGTTTTGTGATTCAAGAACATGCTGTTTACTTCACTTATCAGTAGCTGTTTTGCTGGTGTATTTTCTACAGTGTCCCACAAAGCAAATACATGTCACTGATTCTGACAGCAGAATGCATTATCTTTCCAGGATAACATACTGAAAAGCATATTCCTCATTGTCAGAATGGTGGTATGATGCCAAACAAGCTGTTTAGCACTCAAAATTGGATGTATTTTAGCCATTATCAATGTAAGTTACCAACATCCTGTAAAAAAACCCAGTGCTACAACAAAGGTCTGTCCATTTCATTCTAACAATCCCAGAATCACAGAATGGCCTGGTATTAAGGGACTTAAAGACCATCCAGTTCCTATCTCCCTGCCATGGTCAGGGACACCTCTCACTAGACCAGGTTGCTCAGAGCCCCATCCAGTTTGTCCTAAACATCTCCAGTGACAGGGCACTGACCACCTTTCTGGGCAACCTGTTCCAACGCATCACCACTCTCCCAGTAAAGACCTTTTTTCCCCTAATATCTAACCTAAATCTACTCTCTTTCAGTGTGAAGCTGTTTCCCTTTGTCCTAGCACTACATGCTCTTGTAAGAAGTCCTTCTCCAGATTTCTTCTAGGCTCTCAGGTACTGGAAGGCTGCAATTAGGTCATTTCAAAGCATTCTGTTCTTCAGGCCGATAAAACCCAAATCTCTCAGACTTTCCTCACAGGAGAGGTGCACCATCAATTACCTTACTGTTCTCTTTTCCCCATGCTAATTTGCTTAAGTTTCTCATATTCATCACTGAGTATTAACAATTTCTTTCTCATCTTCTCAATTTAGGAAAACAGAGAAGGAAAAACAAAACCCCAACCATATGACCATGTAAGTATATGCACCTTATTAAAAAACCCTGTTACTTTAGACTGAATTTTACATTGTTGATTGAAAAAAACAAAGTATTTTTCCAGTCTTTTCACAACATGGTACATGTAGGTCACGCTTGTATAATACCACCAACATTTGTGACATTTGAGTGCCAGCCAAGAGACATAGGTATATGCACTGTAAATCCACCAAGTCAGACAACAGTCAGTGAAAAACACAGGTACAAGAATTAAGGAACTAAAGTTTGTTTGACACCTTCCCTTCCAAATATTAGGTACCACAAACAAAAACCATGAATAAGAATTATATTACTTATTACAAACAAAATGTATGTTAAAACTCACAAAAAAATGTATGTTAAAAACCACTGCTCTGATTTTGGAAAAGAATAAAAAAGGCAATACAATGCTCAAATCAGTGTATCATTAAGTCAGAATTGTGTTTTCAAAGAGTACTTAATAAGGCTAACTTTTCAACAGCAGGAAAATTGACTTCCTGCATTAGATGTTTTCTCTAAACAAATATTCTTTTAATCAGTGTAACTCCATGGAAGTTCTATAAGCAGCTTTAGATACTTTCTGTAGTCCAATGTGTATTTCATTTACATGTCACTTATCTGTTGCTGTATGTTAAGTCACTCCCAAACACATTTCCACTTTCTGTGAAGAAAAAATTTGTATAATCACTGTATTGCATAATCTACTAAAGCTGGTGTGTCATTTATTTTTTTCCTACCTAAACTCTTTCCAAAAATAATTTTACCCATATGGTCCACCAAATAAGAGTATTATTGGAAAAGTTGCTTTTCTCTGCTTTTAGATGCTGGCAGTCAAAGAGAGCATCTAAAATAATCAAGACTTAAACAGCAAGATTGCTTATTTTTGTGCACTCTCTTTGCCCAGACAACCAGGAAAAGTAACAGGCTTCCCACTCTGAAAAGGCATGCAGCATGCACTTCTGCACCCAGAGACACAGTTAAACACTAAGTAAATACTGCTGTAATACCTTATCATACCATGAAGTTAAAAAGCTAATATTGGTTCTTAGGATGAAAATTTAAAACGCACAGATCAGTGTCTTGTTGTTAAATGCACTTTGGAATACATTAGCAAAAGCAGATTAATATGAAAAGCTCTTTTCAGTATCTCAGATTTAGATGTTTTCAGTTCTGAGTGTGTCTGTGAAAGTCCAAACACCCTAATGTGAACTAAACTTGATAAACAGAAAATTCATTCCAAGGAAATTTTAGTAGGGAAAAAAAAAAAAAAAAAAAAAAAAAGATACTAGCATTCCACAAGGGAGATAATTGTTTTTAAGATAATTGTTTTTAAGCTACCTTGGAATAGGAAGCACAGCTGGACTCAGTATATTGATCAGTCTATTGACAAGAATGTAGGAAACAAACTGTCGGAAATCTCACTGACACTGGAAGCACTGCAAGCCGAAGTGGTGCATGTTGAAGTAGGTGGTTTAGAATCTTACATCAAATGGTACACAGAAGATCAATGTAGTATCAGAAAGGCAGCAGCAAAATAAGACTAGACCAACTACTGAAGACTATTACTATTACTGAAGGCTATTACTAAGAAGTGAGATTAGTATTAAAGACTCATTGCTTGCTCCATGGCCCAGGCATCCAAATACAACAATCCCAATAATGCAGGGGTGTCAGGAAACCTATCCATACCTATAGGGCATATACAGGTTCTGTTTCTACTTCAAACCCACACAGTAGGGAGTGCGAAACAAACTCACAAACTGTACAGGTTTATGCGCTCATTTTCCCTAAATTTACTCTTTGTATGTATTTAAACACTTTACAGCATTCTACTAGACCAAGTTTCACATATCTTCTACAAATCAGTACTAATTGAAGGCTATTGAACAGCGGCTCAACTTTTATGGCCTGTGGATTATTCTCTTTCCATGCAAAATGGGCAATGATCTAAAGCTAAATGAGTTATGTATTAAAAAGAAAAAATTGTGCATACTACATGTAAGTCACACATATAATTTTATAATACCAGCAGCTCTGCAAACTAAAGAGTTTGACACCAGGAAGCACTAGACATTTTTCTCCCTCAAGAGTCTCATGGATAACCAATCACGAAATGTATAGCCTTAACCTTTAATACAGCAAACTTCCTATTGTTCTGGAGGCTTATACATGACATACATGCAAGTGCTCTTGAAAACAGGGGACATTAATCTTTCAAGGTGAGAATATAAAATTTTACACATGATATTTAAACACTAAATGTCTAATCTCAGCATCTCCAGAAACTTGTTCGTTTGACATATCCAAAATCTACTTCCCCAAACTCCTCTATATAGCACTTTTAACAATCAATAAACAGCAGCTTTGTCTTCATTTGGAGCCATCAGTGCTCTGTACTGCAGTGAAAGATTCACATTACATTTCCAAACTTCATCACCTCCCAAAAATGCCTATTAATGATAAACTATAAAAGCATCTTGATTAGATGATTGTTTCTGTATCATCCACCACCACATAACTCTGGAAAAGGCCAAGAGGGCTACTCCCCCATGGAGGAACTTACAAGGACCTTGGGTATGTCATCACCTGAGGCAGAAATTCAGTCTTAAGCTAAATGGTGCCATCCTCTTGGGAAAACAGCAGCTCCTCCTCTACATCTCAGTCATGATTACTGTGCACAGTCAAACAGATCTAGCTGCATTTCACCTTTCAAGTCTTAGTATTTTAGGAAACAGCTAGCATTTCTATAGCATTCAAAAAACCAGCTACTCACGAACCCACCAAACATGCTTTAGAAGTCCATGACAGCTTGACAGTAATATGGCAGTCACTGTAACTCTGAGAAACCCTTTGGCAGCCAGGGAAACCATCCTCACTAGCTGCTCGTTATACTGCCTAAAAAACTAGAGCATTTCACCAGCCACTGAGTGGGAGTTATCTTGCAGACACGTAAAAAGTATTTTCTGAAAAACTGAAAAAAAGTGGAAGCAATTACATATACCTAGACACATTCCCTCTCTGACAAATCATTTAGGCATTTTTGCTAAGATCTTACATAATCATCACCTATCTTAATAAAAGCCAATATTTAAGTTATGCTTCAATTTTAAGTGGGTTTTTTGTTTGCTTTGCCTTTTTAAAAACTGTAACACTAAGCCTTCAAAATAACAAGCTATAACAGTGTGGACAAAATACATTTATTTGGAACCCATAAATAAATGGTCGGTTCATAGGGCATTTCTACATGTCATAGATGGAAACAAGTTTTTTCTTTTTAAGCAACATACAGCTATCAGTGAAGCAAGAAAATGTGTGAGAAATCAGCTACTGCAATTTATGATGGAAGACACTGTGAGGTTGATGACTTTTCTGTTATGTTTGTCCAGCTGCTACTTAATCTGCAATGTTGTCTCAGACGACAAAACACAATTAACTTGTAAAAATGCCCCAGAAGTATGAGAAAGAAATATTTATTGGATTTTCTTTCAAATGCCAAAGTACAAAGGCTCAAAGAAAAGACATTAAGTTATCAATGAGGGCTGGCCCCCATTTGCTATTCTTACCTATATAACTCCAAAGCAAAAGGCAAGAAAAGATAATCTATCTCTATTCCCTTGGCATAAGAAGGTCTTCTTCCTGTCACTAAGACAACCTTACAATTGTTTTCCCCCCATTTCAAAATCTTACCCTCTCTGTTTTCTTCCCAAAGCAAGGAAATGAAGACTAGGCAGGGGAAAGGACACTCACACATCCCCTTAACCCTTGTATTACTCTGTTCTGCAAGGCTACAAGGTAGTTCAAGCTACTACTGTTCAGGTCACATGGTCCCCAAGGTATGGTCCTGGCAAGAAACTTCCAGATTTTCCTACAATAACTTTCCAACAATCAGAAAAATTAAGGTGACAATTAAGATGGAGCAAACAGGTGCATTCTTGACTTATTTAGGTCATGAGAAGTAAGATCCAGATATACATGAAACTGTCTTAGTATACCATGTGAGTTTTAGGAAAGCTGCTTCCAGTCTGCTTTACTTGACAGTTGTGAGCTTTGCTACCTATCAATTCCAGCTCTGAGTCTGAGCACCAAAACTTGTAGTGTTTCAGGT